CTAATGTAATATATTACTTTTAACGCAGAAGAGACCAACCACTCTTTTGGAGAGCAGCCGCTCAAGACAAAATTTATGCGCATCTTGACATTTCCATAAAGCCTTTTTTATGCAATAATCCAAAATGTGCATAAGAATAGGTGGATGGAAACAGCTATTGAGCAGACACCATAATACTTTAATAACTGCTGGTTGACATGATTTCAAAGTTAACATGTCTAAAGAAGCCATCAAAGTAAAACATTATTAAAGTAGGCTTATCCCCAAAAGCATTTTTTAAAAAGTGCGATTTAATTCACTTCCGGGGACAAATTTGTCCTTAAATTAGCATAGAATTCATACACACTTGCTTTCTAAGGTGTCCTTCAACCAAATCAGGTTATTATCCTGCATGGCCAGATAATGTTCGGCTTTCATCTGAGGCACAGGCCCAAACACTCTACGGATTTGAGGGAATTTGTCAGGTTTTTGTCGGGTCTGAGTATTAAACGAGCAGCGATTACGCCTTTAGTAATTAGGGTGTCCCCTGAGCCTGTCCCGATGAGCAACTCCAATTAGACAAGCGGTCTGGAGGGTTTTAAATGGAGTTTCTGCCCTTCATTGTTTCTATTTCCCTTTCAGTCACAAGCACAAACAGACATGCATGCAGCTCGCAGATGCACACATCCACAGCCGTTTTGTATTAATGGATTATTAATTAGCCTCTGGTTTTGATGCGGCGTCTCTTGTTTGAGCTTTATTGAATAAAGCCACAGCTGGCAGAATCCTTAGAGCAGAGGAATAGATGACGTTCTTCATCTCTCGTAGTCTATTCATAAGCACCTCCTCTGTCTGCCAGCGATTGACCTTTTATTCTTTTACTTATGCATTTTCCTTTTTCTGCTTCTTTCATCAAGACTTTGATTTTTATTTATGCCATGATACATACCGCTACATCAAACAGGCCCTGCATCTTAATATTCTCTATAAAGACCTTCATCTCTTCATATCGTAAGCCCTGATCCTCTCTCTTTCCTTCAGCTGGTGCTGTAGGCATTTTCCCCGAAATGGGTTACAAAATAAAGCCTTTTTCTTTTTTTCAGTAAATAGAAATGAGGCCCTTATTACTTTTTGAAATTGTTGATCAACAAGCTCTGAATTTGTCTGGGTTTACTTAAAAAAATAGGCCAAAACAATTTTTATACATATTCCATTAGCTGAATATATGAATGATTTTAAAATGAATTGATAGTAAGTAAAATTTTATTCGATTTCATTAATTTTTACCACTATGACAAATCTTTTCAACATATGACTGTGATTTTTATATGTGGATACAATTACAACAGCGTTTCTGTGTGGAGTTTGCATGTTCTCCCTGCCTTCGCGTGGGTTTCCTCCGGGTGCTCCGGTTTCCCCCACAGTCCAAAGAAATGTGGTACAGGTGAATTGGGTAGGCTAGATTGTCCCTAGTGTATAAGTGTGCGTGTTGAATGTGTGTGTGGATGTTTCCCAGAGATGGGTTGCGGCTGGAAGGGCATCCGCTGCATAAAAAACTTGCTGGATAAGTTGGCGGTTCATTCCGCTGTGGCGACCCCGGATTAATAAAGGGACTAAGCCGACAAGAAAATGAATAAATGAATGAATGAATTACAACAGCTGTTTCTCAATACCAAGAACACAGAGAATGGACTTGCATTCTTGTGGAGACCGGCCTTGCCAGGTTACCCAGGAAGAACGAACTCGGGTGTTTCTCAATTCCAAGAACACAGAAAATGGACTTGAGTTTTTGTGTAGACCAGTCTTGCCAGGCCATCTCAGAAGAAAGAACTTGGGAGACCGCGAGAACACAGAATGAAACACATGCTATGAGATGCTGGATTCTTCCTGATGGTCACATGACCTTCATGCATTTTTAACTGATAATTATTTAAACATTACAGCATTCATACAATGATTTATTGTATTTCTCTTTTCACAATATATACTATGCATTAAAAACTTCACAAATATACTTTGCACAATAAAAATAAAACAAATTTTAATATGAATTTCAGTAAATAAACACCCTTAATGTGTTTATACTTTTATTAAGATTTTCATGTTAATGTTTACTTTCACCGTCTCATTTAGGGAAATTCCTGAGATAAACAAGTTATCTCTCTGAACTTAAGTAATAAATCTATATAAAATGCTGCGGTTACCACCTCCAGTCGCAATGACTTCTGAGACTTTTAGGTGCTCAAGGCTGTTTCTCAATTTGCATTCCTCAGCCATTTTGCTTATTGTGTTCTCGTGTCACGTCATCATCAACTGCCAAAGTTCAGTTAAAAAACTCAAGACCGCAAGAACATAGGACACGTAAAAATTCCTATGTGTTCTTAGTATTGAGGATGTGTCGATGCAGACTTGATCACCAAACACGCTCAAGAGATCCCAGAAGTCATTGCAACTGGAGGTGGGAAGCACAGCATTTTATATACATTTATTGGTTTTTTATATAGATTTATAAGTTCAGAGAGATAACTTATTTATCTCAGGGGGTTCCCTAAATGAGATGGTGAGAGTAAACATTAACATGAAAATCTTAATAAAGGTGTAAACACAAGCTGCGTCCCAAATGGCACACTATACACTATGCACTCATGCACTATGTACTTATGCACTTACACACTCAACAGGATAGTATATGTATGTAGTGTCGTCCCAAATGGCACACTTATGTATTTTTACTAAGCGGAAATTCAAACCGTTTCCCTGATGACGTTTGACTGTTGCCAAATCAGTGAGATAAACGACTGAATTATCAAGTAATACCTGCCTTGAGTATTGCTGCATTCACCATCGGGAGGCGCTATAATCACTCTCATAGGAGAATTTTGCTTTCACCATCCAAAATAAATAAAGTTATTCAACATGTGCGTCCGATCGCTCCGCCCCTTCCGCTACGCAAGCAAACCTGCGGTCGTTGAATGTGTGAAGTGTCCATTATTACACACTTCATTTTAGTGGCTGAATGAGTGCATCATCCGGGTAATTAAAGTGCACTTATTATTTTGAGAGTTTTCAATGTGAACACACTACTTACACTATTTATACTATTTATACTACAAAATGGCGTAAAATAGTGCATAAGTATGCGATTTGGGACGCAGCTACAGTTTATTTGTTGAAATTCGTATTAAAATCTGTTTTATTTGTATTTTGCAATGTATATTTATAAAGTCTTTATGCATAGCATGTATTGTGAAAAGGCAAAAGCTATAAAATGTTGTATGAATGCTGTAATGCTGGAATAATTTTCGGTTAAACACGTGTGAGATGTCATGTGCCCATCAGGAAGAACACAGAATCTCATTTCTCACAGGACGCCTTCTCTGTTCTCACGGTCTCTCGAGTTTGTTCTTCCAAAGTGACCTGGCAAGACCGGCCTTCAAAAGAACGCAAGTCTGTTCTCTGCGTTCTTAGAATTGAGAAGTAGCCAAAGTTTGCAACGGTGCATCCTCGATATCAAAAACACATCTGGGAACTTGCACGCGCCCTCTGTTCTTGCAGTTTTGAGTTTTGGAACCTAACTTTGCCAGTTATTGATGACGTTACACGAGAACAAGAGGATGCAAGATCGCTGAAGAACGCATATTGAGAAACAGCCAGTATGTGCTAGAAATGATTCATTCATTCATTCATTATCCTTTGGCTTAGGGCGACTTACACTATGTACACTTGCCTTGAACCGGGCCAAAGCAAGCTTGTTCCCCCTCCCATCTCCCCCGACAGCCGGCACTCACATTACATTTGGGCTTGGGCATGCTTACGCCATCGATGATGCGCTGTTCAGTAGAGAAGCGCTCTCACTTAGCACACACTGTAAAAAAAATCTGTAAAATAACAGTTAAATGACTGTATATTTTAACAGATTTTTTTCCGTATACACGTATTACGGGTGTTTTTCCGTTTATATACATTTTCGAATTGCATTGTGGGAAGGGGATCGCAGCTCAGACAGCGTTTGATGGACACCGGGACATATTTCTTCCTCTGTTTTTTCCCTGGTAAGTACGATTAATAAAACATATAACAATATTTTAGTTAAAAGACTGCTTTATTACCTTTTTATCGTTATTTAAAATGATTTTTGTCTTTTATGAAGCGCCCATGGAAAGTACAGCAGTGAATTACGTTTAATATTGTTAATAAGATCAGACTTTATTTCATTAAGATCAAACTGAGCTATGAGTGGTTAAATGTAATTTAAACAAGCATTTACCTAATGATTTTTTACCTTTTTATACGTTTTTCTCATCAGTAAATATGATATCTGTTCATTTACAGTTGTTTGTCCGTATTTTTCTAAACTGCCGTGCGCGGGAAGTGGCGTGACGTCCAATCACCCACTCACTCCCTCTGCACCTGACTGGATTAACGGTAAACGTCAGTTTGTCTGTAAGAGTGTAAAAGGTATGTTAATTATTTTATAGAAATATAAATGTTTTCTTTGTACAGTGAATTGAACAAGGGATAGCATTCAAAGTTTGTGTCACTGTGTAGTTTGGTTGATATACGTTACCTTTAATGAACACTAACGTTAACGTGTTTCAAACGCTCGTAACACCTGACCGTCTGTGTTTGTTTGCATATTAATGACTAATTTCATATTTTTACTGACGTTATCAAATGTTAGCTTTAGTTTGACCGACGTATTAAGGCTGTGTGACCGAGTTTCAGTGGAACAGCTTTGCTGGTTTTTAAGTAAGTTATAAGTTAGACTCGCGTGAATTGGAGGCATTTGTAACTCGGTATGAGGGGAAATACACACTCGTAAAGTTTTTATTAGTGGTGGGCCGTTATCAGCATTAACGTGCTGCGTTAACGCGAGACTTATCGCGCGGTAAAAAAAATATATCGCCGTTAATCTATTCTCAACGTTGGGTTGGGAGCTGGGTGACTTTCATACTTTGATATTTTAGCGCGGATGTATACCTGACCGGTGAGCCGTCTGACAAACAAGTGCCCTTCTGAATCAAATCAGCAGGATGCCTGACTTTAACTGCAGTTCGGCAGTTTCACTTTAACTCATGAACATTTCATTCATCCCGCGTGACAAACTGGGGTAATAGACGCAAATAAGAAGCAAGAACTGATGAGAATGTTATGGAATTTAACAACGCTCGCCAAATGGAACGAAAAAAAAAACTTCCGCATTTCGCGACGCGTGTTTGTGTGTACAGAGATAACAGAGTGATACAGTACGTGTGTGACATTTAAAAGTATTTATAGTGTTTACACTGTCATGCGTTTTCGGCCTCAAATACAACGTGTACCTTAAAGCACACAATTAAATGTTTGTTGTAGTCGAGTTGAACTGTCATTGATATTTATTTATTCACTTTTAAGAACCTCAAGGGCAGCTAATATGAAGATATAAAGATGAGTTGTTCTTCCACAGTCTTAAAATTCTTCAAACTAATTGTCAGTTCGATTCATTATAGCAAACAATACTTTCTTTACTATTAGGAGATCAGGAGTTTTATTTTAATGAAACCTTGATAATAGAGTGAACTACACATGGTGTTATCGCAAATGAAATCTTTTTATGTAGATTTTAAGTGAGTTTTATTTGCACAAATAAGGTTCACTGATATTTTGCTTTGTTGACTTTCAGGTTCTTTCATTTTGGTTATAAGTACATGTTACAGGTAAATTCTTAGATTCAATCCAAACTGAATTTGAATTAATACGGACAAATGAAATAAAATACACCTGGGATTTTAAATGTTTTCATTTTTTTATTATTCACAACGTTTGTGAAGTCTAAATGTAGACTGTCTCAAACTGAATGAGTGTTATTTTTGTTGTAGGTGTGTTGGTGTAAAAATTGATGCTGACTGGTTAGTACTGCATTTTTAACCATAACAATAATGATTTATATTTAGCATTGCATCTATTGTCATTTTACCAAGAATGTGTTTGCTCTTTCAGAACTCAGGCAGTTGTGCTGGACCCTCTGTACCGTATACAGGAGATGACTGTAAACTTTCAAGTTTAAGAGGTAAAATGTTCAGGGTTTTTCTGTTTGATTTTGAGTGTTTTGTAGATATAAGGTTCACTGATATATGATATAAGATTTGCTTTATGTTTATGTTGTCATTTTAGTTATAAGTACAAGGTACAGGTACATTTTCACAGCAATCTAAATTAAAATCTTAAATTTTACATTCAATCCAAACTGAATTTGAATTAATATGGACAAATGAAATAAAATACACCTGGGATTTTAAATGTTTTCATTTTTTTGTTATTTTTAAAGTTTAAAAGTAGACTACGTGCTGCATGTTTCAAACTGAATGAGTGTTATTTTTGTTGTAGGTGTGTTGGTGTAAAAAGTGATGCTGACTGGTTAGTACTGCATTTTTTAACCAAAAAAATAAACAATGATTTATATTTAGCATTGCATCTATTATAATTTTACCAAGAATGTGTTTGCTCTTTCAGAACTCGGCAGTTGTGCTGGACCCTCTGTACCTTATACAGGAGATGACGGTAAACTTTGAAGTTTAAGAGGTAAAATGTTCAGCGTTTTTTCTGTTTGGTTTTAAGTGTTTTGTACATATAAGGTTCACTGATATTTTGCTTTGTTGATTTCCAGGTTCTGTAATTTTGGTTATAAGTACAAGGTACAGGTACATTTTCACAGCAATCTAAATAAAAATCTTAAATCTTACATTCAATCCAAACTGAATTTGAATTAATATGGACAAATGAAATAAAATACAGCTGGGGTTTTAAATGTTTTCAATTTTTTTTATTATCCACAAAGTTTGTAAAGTATAAAAGTAGACTATGTGCTGCATGTTTCAAACTGAATGAGTGTTATTTTTGTTGTAGGTGTGTTGGTGTAAAAATTGATGCTGACTGGTCAGTACTGCATTTTTATAAATAATACAAAAAATTAAAATAAAAAATGATTTATATTTAGCATTGCATCTATTGTCATTTTACCAAGAATGTGTTTGCTCTTTCAGAACTCAGGCAGTTGTGCTGGACCATCTGTACCTAATACAGGGGATGACAGTAAACTTCCAAGTTTAAGAGGTAAAATGGTCAGGGTTTTTGTTTGATATTGATGCTTTTATTTTTATTATTTGGCAAACCAATTACTTGTACCTATATTTTTACTAAGTGTTTACATGAACACATTTTGATGATGAGAGAGACAATTTCAATGTGGGCATCTTCCTTTATTGTTTTTTTTTTTTGCCTTATTTTTGTTCTTGCACTATAATTATTTCTTGTAATATTTGATTAAGTAAATATATATTTTTTAATTTCTTTTAAATTATGTAGCAGACATGTATTTGAATAATTTTACATAATATTTATAATATTATTAATAATATTAATAATTTACCATATAGGTGTGCATATGTGTACCCATATATTTACATGTAATATAGGAAAACAGCCAATTTTATATTTGTCACATATTTCAAAAACCTAAATCAAAACCTATATTAAACCATATGTTTATATAGGTTCTTTCCATGTGGACGTGTACCAGACCCAACACACAACTCACTTTTCTTTTTTTCAGAAGAAGAGTCCATAGTCACAATAACAAGATCATTGAGCTGTCCCCTAATTGTGGTGAGCTACATGTTTAGTCTCTTATGTGCTAAACATTATGTAGCCTAAGGAAGCAGCCCCGACTCTGGAGTTTATATGAAGGTATGGTTTTACATTTTTAAGTTTATTTCATTTTTATAAGACAAGTAAGTTGATACATGTTTGTTGTATTTACAACAGGAGCATGCTGAGTAACTATCCAGAATGTAGGTCCATAGCAGAAAAAAGTGCACCAAGCAGAAACATACCATCTAAACTCCTTCGATTCCTGTCAGACCAGAAAGACTTTCAGAATCCTTGGAAGATTTAAAGGTAATTAAGCAAACCGGTAATACTTTATAATAACTAAACACTATTGATTAATTTATTAAGCATTAGCAAAAAGTTCTGTTAAGCTTTAACTCTACATTAACAGACCTTAGTATACAGTTTATAACTACAGCTGCAAATGCTGTAATCTTGACTTATAAGCACATCTATAATGTGCTTAATGATTTTGTTTTTATATTTTGTTAATGATTAATTTTTCATTACTAAATTTAGTATAGCATTATTTACAAACCAGTAATTTAAGAATAGTTGGTGTATTTTTTTTCTAATCATTCAGAATGTGTAAGTAAATGGTTAATAAACTATTTAAACTAACATTTATATATCTTATTATTCAGGCATATAGTAATAGTTGGGCAGCACAGTGGCTCAGTGGCTAGCACTGTTGCCTCACAGCAAGAAGACCTCCGGGTGCTCCGGTTTCCCCCACAGTCCAAAGACATAAGCTATAGGGAAATTGATTAACTTAATTGGCTGTTATGTATGAGTGTGTTTGTAAATGTGTGTATGGGTGTTTCCAAGGGCGTACTCATGCTATGCACAGTTGCCTTGAAACTGGAAGCGTGCTTGTCTCCCCCGACGACCCGCACTCACATTGCATTCGAGCCTGAGCATGCTTACATCATCAATAACGCACTGTTCAGTTTAACAAGTGCTCTCACTCAGCACAGTGGAGATTTCTTTATATTGTTATATCGTTTTAGTTGTTCAATATGCAGTGACACGCAGTCAAATATTTCACCGAACAGATCAGCCACTTTTGACGCTCATAAACAATCAAAGTCAACGTGCTGCAGGTACTAGGAGGTTTGCTAAAGGTGCAGCTGTTGTGCAGTGAGGGGTTTGTGTCTTTAATCTATGACAGTTTGCAAGGGACTTTGATTTGGATAAATTAACCACTATTACTGTTCAATGAACGCAAACCCCTTACTTCACCACAGCTGCGCCTTTAGCAAACCTCCTATTCCTGCAGCACAAGGAGTTTATGATTGTTTATTAACATCAAAAGTGGCTGATCTGTTCGGCGAAATTCTTGACAGCGTGTTACTGCATCCCAAACGACTAAAACAATATAACTAAAGAATTCTCCGTGCTTAGAGCACTTCCTAAACTAAACAGCGCATCATCGATGATGTAAGAGTGCTCAGGCTCGAATGCAATGTGAGTGCGGGACGTCAGGGGAGACGGGAGGGAGGACAAGAGTGCTTCGGCCTGGTTCAAGGCAACTATACATAGTGTGAGCACACACTAAGCTGAAGGAAAATACATGAATGAATAGTAATTGTTATACTTGTATATAAAGTATAAAAAATAAGTATATAAAGTATATACAATACTTATTTTAATAAGTGCTTTTGTTAACTTCATCCAGTTTTGTAGCCTAAAGTGAGGATTGTTTATGCTTTGTAAATCGCCTTATAAATCACAATTAAAGATTCAGTTATATTCTAAAAATGAAATTCATTTTATTGTATTAAATGAAAAATAAATCTTATCTAAAATAAAATTACTGTACAGTTTAAACATAGCTAAATAACACTGAAATGTTGCATCGTAATATATCATTAAATTATTTTATTGTTGTTTTATCCAGTTTTATGTTATATTTTGGCACTCCTGCTATTCAGCAAGGTTTAACTGTCATTTATAAGGATTTATAAATCATAAATAATCCTCACTTTAGATTAGGCCACAACTGGAAGAAATTTTGTAAATAATGCAATATTAAATATAATATTATATATATATATATATATATATATATATATATATATATATATATATATATATATATATATATATATATATATATATATATATATATATATATATTTTTTTTTTTTTTTTATCTATAAATAGTAATGTAAAATCAATCAGTTAAGTTTGATAACACAATTATTAAACTGTAGCAAATTTTGCAGCTGTATTTATAACCAACTGCTAACATCTATTAATGTAGAGTTAATGCTTAACAGATAATGAATTCACTATTTGCTAATGCTTCATAAATGAATCATAGCCCGTAGTTATTATAGTGTTACCAGCATAGTTTGTTTATATTACTGTTTCTCTCTTGCATTATTGTTCCGAATATTGTCAAAAGTACCTACACTTTATTTTGAAAAATCTTAAAGTGATTTCTCACCCAAAACTGAATAATTGATCATTCATAATTTACCTACTCTCTTGACATTTTAAACCTGTATGACTTTGTTTCCTCTGCAAAACACAAAATATCATATTTTAAAGAATGTTGCTCCTATTTCTCCTATTTTGTTCTGTTGAAGTATGTCAGTCAGACAGGCTTGAAATGACAAGAGTGAGACATGAAGATGATGATAAAACTTTCATTTGTGTAAACTATTGACATGCAAGGAATTACCCCAGTTGTAAGTGAAATGTCATTAGTAATGTTTTTTTTTTGTTGTTTTTGTTTTACAGCCATTGAAGTATCAGTATTGGAGCGGAAGAAGACCCAGTTGTATCGTCTGTTTCCTGCCATCTTGCAGTTTAACCTGGTTTCTTAATGTAAAGTACTTGTAATTTGCCCACTTGTCCTCAATTATCTTAAAGCTAACATTTAAAACTAATTTGCTATGAGATTATTTGCCAAGACCTCTCACTGTGTGATTCACATGTCAATATGTATTATTGTGTGTATAACTAGCTATTTGGAATTCAAATGATTTGTATTCATTAAAGAATCTGTTTTAATTGCAAAGTTGTTTTTGTACTAATCATTGTAAGTTCACAGTTAACAAACTATTTACTGCTTCTCTACACATACAGTATGGAATACATGTTTTGTTTTACTATGGTAAACCATTAGTAGTGTATTTCCCATATGTATAGGTTTATCCTTACCAACTGCTATTTCTATGCTGCTTGAAGAGCATTAAATTAGTAAAATAATATTTTTTTTACAGTAGGTATCCCATTAAAACAAAGAATCTGTTCATTTTTTCACTGTATATATACTATTAAAAAACAAAAAAGTCCTCTTTTTACAGTAGGTATACAATTAAAACACAGAATCTGTCTGTTTTTTTACAGTAGGTATACAATTAAAACACAGAATCTGTCTGTTTTTTTACAGTAGGTATACTATTAAAACACAGAATCTGTCTGTTTTTTTACAGTAGGTATACTATTAAAACACAGAATCTGTCTGTTTTTTTACAGTAGGTATACTATTAAAACACAAAATAGTTCCGCTTTTTTACTGTTGGTATACCCTTAAAAACACAGAAAATAACCGTTTTTTTATATAGAAAACCCTTAAATTACTATAAAATGGTTCGTTATTTTACAGTAGTTTAACCGTCAAAAAACGGATATTTTTTAGTTTTTTTAATGTGGACACACTGTCAATTAACAGAAGTTTTCCGTTTTTAATTTACGGTAAAATATTTGTGTAATGAGCTGCCAGTACATTTTACCGTTTTTTTACGGAATTTTTTTTTAGAGTGCAGTAGAGATTTTTTTTAGTTATATTGTTTTAGTCATTTGGGATGGGGTGAACAAAGTCCTCGTGCTGCAGGAATTAGGAGGTTTGCTGAAGGTGCAGCTGTGGTGCTGTGAGGGGTTTGCTTCTTTAATAAACTACGACAGTTTACATTCATTGAACAGTAAGAATGATTAATAAATCTATGAAACAATCCTGTAAAAGTCAAGTTTCATCTTCAATTTCGGTCTCAGGCACGCTTTGCACTAGTAAGTTACACTATAAGCGTACCAAACGCCAAAGCATAAGTGAACTGCGCTCTGTCACACCTCTTCCAACTGAGCCAGGGCTGGCCAAATGTACCATGCCTGAGCCCGATTCAGACAAATGGTGCTCGCTGCAGAGCCATTTGAGGAGAGCTGAGCTCCAGCAAGGGGGAGCTTAAGCTTGAGCTCCACCTTTTTTGCACTTCTTCTACGAGTGATGTCACTGGGGGTAGGGTTAGGGGTGGGGTTGGTGTACGCATTAAAACAGCTTACAGGAGGAGGAGCGACAGCTCATGCTCCCCCTCGCTGGAGCTCAGCTCTCCTCAAATGGTTTTGCAGCGAGCACCCTCTCGATTCAGAGCACTCACACTCTCTATTTTAGAGGTCACCACATCATGTTTCATGCATCGGATGCCTTTCCAGCAGCAACCCAGTATTGGGAAACACCCATACACACCTATTCACACACACACACAGTCAGACCCTATAGACATCTTAGTTTATTAAATTCTCCTATAGTGCATGTCATTGGACTGTGGGGGAAACCGGAGCACTCTGAGGAAACCCACACAAACTCGGAAAGTACATGCAAACTCCACACAGAAATGCCCACAGGCCCAGGTGGGAGCTGAACCTGTGACAGTGCTAACCACTGAGCCACCGTGTTGAGTAAAACTGTAAATGTTTATATTAGAGCAGAAATGATCCGGGTTTGCGTGTCATGTAAAACACATCTATCCTTAGCTAATGTGTCACCCAACTTCTTTTTATACCCCAGTAGATAGTGAAGGCAGATTCGCGTGGGTGCTTTTCAAAGCAAAGATAATGTTATTTACTCACAGTTCTTCTCCTGAGCTGCTGCCTACGTTTATCACACTGCAGACTAAATTTGAGTCCACCCTGATATTTTCTACTGCAGAAAAATTTGCAGAATCTGTCTTTGTCTGGAACTGTATGGAAACCACAGGTTTTCTATCACTCTGAAAGAACACAGTAAACACAACACACCGGGAAACTAATGTAATTCTGTGGCTTTGCTGAGGTAACAATCCAATATCAAACCCGAGTGAGTTCTGATGAACAAAGCTGTTTCTAAAACTCAAGTGTGTGTGATTGTGTGCTCTTTGTTGTGGTGATTGATGGTCTTTATCATCTTTTTGCACACACGCTCTGTATATTCATTCATCCACATATGACCATTCTTCCCTTTCACTTCCTCTCTCTGCATGCATCCCATTTCCTGCAGCTCCTCCTCCTGTTACCCTCTCACCCATTCCTTTATATTTTTTCTACCTCATTTCCTTTTCTCTTGAATGAGTGTTTTCTTTGTGGCACTTCATTTGTGTTGGCTCTTTTGCTTTGTGCTTTATTTCAATCTTTTGTCAATGACAAAAAAACCTGTAGTGATAGTGAAGCATATCAAAGAAACTACTTGAAAATAACTGCAAATTGTGTAAATGTATTATTAATTCAATATTTCTCTCATTCACATTTTGTGTCTGTGTGTGTTCTGTACAAAGTGCCAGGAGTGTTAAAAATGAACTGTACAGTTTCACTGATGAGTCTTTGGTGGATGGTCATTTTCTGCCTGACTGCCCAGAGCGGCTTGAACTAACTCTACTGAACTCACAGAAATGAACTAATTCAACATCACCAGCTTCTGTGCAGAGTGATCGACAGACAGACACATACAGACAGAAAAACAGGCAGAAACAGATGGATTGAAGGATGAACATTAAGATATGAACTGATGAATAGATATACTGTATGGGTATATCGATGTATAGGATATGTCTTACCTATATAGATATCAATGCTGAATTATTGGTTATTTGATAGATTTGTATTTTTAAATATTGCTGAATTGACCAAAAGTTTGACTTCTAGAGGTTTGTTAATCCTAACTCTAACCAAATAATTTTAGACATAGAAATTAACAAACATTTAAATATGGATAGATTTTGAAGATGATTATTAAGACAGAAAAAAGATGGATGGATGGATGGATGGATGAATGGACATTAACATATGAACTGATGAATAGTATACATGTAAATGTATACACTGTAAAACCCAAAAAGTTCAAACCGTGTGAGGAAATCGATTGCACCAAACCATTTAAGTTCAACAGCTAATCTATATGAATACTTTGAACTTAGTACATTTAAGTTGAAGTAATGAGGTATTTAATTAGCTCAATGCCTTCAACACTGAGTTCAAAACTCTTTTCAAATAAGTAGAATAAACTTTCAGTAAATTTTGAGTTAACTACACTCATTTCATTTGATAAAGTTGACTGTTGGGGTTTACATGGTTAGGATAGAGAGATTGATATCACTGGATTGCTGGATTTATTGATAGTTTGACTTTTAGAGCTTGATTGACCCTAAACCTAATGTAATCCTAACAATTAAATAAAGACATAGAGATAAACACATTTAAATATGGATAGATTATTAAGATGCCTAATAAGACAGAAACAGATGAGATGGATGGATGTTCACTGAATGGTTACATAAATGATAGGATGGATAGATGTGTATGTATATATATACGCACAAGCACACGCACACACACACACACACACACACACACACACACACACACACACACACACACACACACTGTATAGGTGTATGAATAAATAGGATAGAGGGACAGATATCACTGCATTGATTGACTTTTAGAGATTGATTTACTTTAACCCTAACCGATTAGATTTGGACACCGAGATAAACAGAGACAGAATTCGACAGAAAACAGTCAGAAAATAGATATGGAATGTTTAGATATGGACGTATTGATGAAATCAATGGATGAACAGATAAATGATTATGGATTCATATACATAGATAGATGAATAAGTGAAGCTTATTTATAAACTAATTTCGAGAGGAGCACATGCTTATGATTGAACATGGCTGCTTCAGCATTGGCTAATATATGATCCACCAATCAGTCAATTCCTATCTCACCATAAATAACCAGAAGTTCTTATCTCAGTATCTTTGTTTTAAAGAATCCCCACTTCCACCCCTACTCTTTCTTCCTTTCTATACAGGGCGGCACGATGGCCCAGTGGTTAGCACTGTTGCCTCACAGCAAGAACTTTACAGTTTCAAGTCCTTACCTGGCCAGGGTCTAGCTCAGGGCTCTCTCCTGGGACAGCATGCCAAATTTTTATCAATCATCAGCTAAGGGTGAACTCTTGAAATAGACATTTAAAAATTGAATGCATGAATGTATAGGAAATACCAAAAAAATACATATTATATGAATAGATGAAGGACAGTCAGATTAAATTATTCTTAGATAGACGGGTGGAAGGACAGAAATAGAAGAGACACAGACAGACAGTTACGTATAGTAGTGGCTGATACATATAATAGTGTAATGATGAAAGTGTTTTTCTCCTGTGTGTTAAATGAGTGCACTGTCAGTGATTGTTAAGCTCTTGTTCTGTTTTCAAGAGCTCATCACATTCATGCCTTCCCGTGAAATCCCTCACTTGTGGATGAAGCACGTTAAATAATCTCACTGGGTCCATTAGCAAGAAAGTCAGTGTTTCTGTGCCTTTTGTTGTCAGTTTTATTCATTCAATCTGATTCTCTGCATGTGTATCTCCTCTTCAGGTTACTCATGGCCTTTCCCTGCATCACTGTGTCCCATGTGGATCTACCTAGATGTGCTCTTCTCCACCGCCTCCATCATGCACCTGTGTGCAATTTCTCTTGACCGCTATGTGGCCATTCGTAACCCCATCCGACACAATCGGTCAAATTCCCGCTCCCGAGCCCGGGCCAAGATTACGGCAGTCTGGACCATCTCTGCAGGTACACCTGATGCCATCAACACATGAGCACAACTCCGTGCTGTAGAGAGATATGATGACAAAAAGATGCCCAATGAGTCATGATTAAGTCATGTAAAGTGGAGATATAAATTAGAAAACAGTAAATGAACACTGGCGGTTCATTCCACTGTGGGGAACCCTTGTAAATCAGGGGAAATAAGCTAAAGAAAAGCGAGTGAGGCAGTGAGTGAATGAACATTGTTTTAGGTTTTACAGAAATAGTGTAATTTTCATTGTTTAGGATTTGAGGGGATTTTAGTTTTCTGTTTATAACATGTCCGTTAAAAATACAAAAAAAAAAAAAAAAACAATGATACAATACAATGTTTGTAGCAATAATAACAATAAAAACTAAAATTTCTGACGTTTACAGCAGTCAAAAAGTTTTTTCCCCCGCTTTGAATGACTTTAACACATCGA